TAAAATGATCATGACTACAAACAGACCAGATACACTGGATCTGGCTTTGCTGCGTCCAGGAAGATTAGATAGAAAAATACATATTGATTTGCCAAATGAACAAGCAAGGTTAGACACACTGAAAATCCACGCAGGTCCCATTACAAAGCATGGTGAAATAGATTATGAAGCAATTGTGAAGCTTTCAGATGGCTTTAATGGAGCAGACCTGAGAAATGTTTGTACTGAAGCAGGTATGTTCGCAATTCGTGCTGATCATGATTTTGTAGTACAAGAAGACTTCATAAAAGCAGTCAGAAAAGTGGCTGATTCTAAGAAGCTGGAGTCTAAATTGGACTACAAACCTGTGTAATTTACTGTAAGATTTTTGATGGCTGCATGACAGATATGGCTTAATATAAAAATAAAGTTAAAGAAAATAATGTATGTATTGGCAATGATGTCATTAAAAGTATATGAATAAAAATATGAGTAACATCATAAAAATTAGTAATTCAACTTTTAAGATACAGAAGAAATTTGTATGTTTGTTAAAGCTGCATTTATTGCAGCAAGTTACAAAGGAAGAGTGTTGAAGCTTTTCATATTTGCTGTGTGAGCATTTTGTAAAACATTGAAAGTTGTTTGAGATAGTGGTATAAGAAAGCATTTCTTATGACTTATTTTGTATCATTTGTTTTCCTCATCTAAAAAGTTGAATAAAATCTGTTTGATTTAGTTCTTCTACCAAAAAAAAAAAAAAAAAAAAAAAAAGACCCTAGACCCAGAGCTGTTTAACTCGTTTCGAAGACTTCAGCAAGCTATTCACTCTCGTGCTGCTCCTTTTCATATTTCTCGTATTTGTTCTCACACACAACTTCCTGGGCCACTATGTTTAGGTAATGACAGAGCAGGTAAACTGATTGGTTCTATATTTCAACAAGCTCAAGCTTCTCATGCATTACTGCATCAAAACACTTCTGCCCTTACTCATATGTTTCATGCACCTCACACCCAGGCTCAAGCTATTGTGCAAGCCTGCCCCACTTGTCAGCATGGCCCTGGTGATACACCTGTAGAAGGATGTAGCCCACGAGACTTAGCTTCAAATGAAATCTGGCAGATGATGTTACACATGTAGCAGCCTTTGGCAAACTTAGCTATGTTCATGTGACTATAGATACTTACTCTCATATGGTACATGCCACATGTCAAACGGGAAACAGCTGACCTTGTCCAATGACATTGTTTATCGTCATTTGCCCATATGGGGGTGCTTAAACAAATAAAAGCTAACAATGGACCTGATTGTGTTAGTCACGCTTTTCAAAATTTTTTACAGTTATGGGCAATCACTCATAAAACAGGAATTCCTTACAGTCCCCAAGGACAAGGCCTTATAGAGTGGGCACATCAAACATCACAATGTATGTTGAAAAGACAAAAAGGGGCAGTAGGAGACCAGCTACCACCTCAAACAAAATTACATTTAGCCTTATTTACTTTAAATGTTTTGACTCCTGGTACAGATAATGAGAGTCCAGCAGAACAACACTGACAAATATTACAGGGAAAAAAGAAAGTTTACCAAAGGTATTATGGAAATCCCAGGAAAAAGGACAACGGCAAGACCCAGTACATTTACTGATGTGGGGATGAGGGTATGCTTGTGTTTTTACAGGAGATGGACAAATCATGTGGGTGCCCTCAAGATGTGTGCGATCATGGAATGGGAGACTGGAGGGACCCATGGATCCCAAATCTGGGCCTGGTTCCCCCAGGACGAGCCATGAGCCAGTTGAATCTGAATGCAAAGACACAGCAAGGGCCAACCAGAGTCACACAGACATCAACCCCCATAACATGTGGACAGATCAATAAAATCACACAGGAAGCTGAGAAACTGCTGGAGCATCAGGGTCAGGCAAAAACCCCTGACTCCATGTTTAAGGCCATGCTAGCTGTAATATCCTATGCAGTATGTTTTCCCTGTGTAGAGGCGAAGGCATATTGGGCATATGTTTCCACCCGCCCACCAGAATGACCTGTACTCTGGAGTGACACTCCTCCTGAGATATATCATGATCAAGGAACACGGGCACCAGGATCCCTAATTCCCCCTGACATAGAGCAATTAGACTCTCAGAACAATGGTATCAATTATACGGCTCCTTTGGAGGGACTTCCTTTATGCATCACCCAGGATACATCGCTCAATCACAGTTGCCTTACAATTCAATCCCAGGCATGGTTGAGTTACCATGGAAAATATATGTACCTATTAGGCCTTAGCTCTATGAATATTACTGGTATAGCTACTAATCACTCCTGGCCCAATTGCCCAAATTGTATTAATTATACAGAATGGGCTCCCTTTGATCATTCTAACCCCCTCCTTGGACCCAGTGTCTTGGCCCCCTAGCTAGACAACAGTCCATGCTAATGGAAGACATTATTGACTGGGGTCCCCATGGTCATTTTGTTGGGAGAGATGAGCATCAGACCTCATGGCAAGAACTTCGCTGGCACTGGTGGTGAAACTTTAACATCTCTTCACTACACCATCTTGGGATTCAATCCCAATCTCCTGTGCAAATTGCTTGATACCACGAAGGCTTTAGCCCACGTTTGCCTCAATGGCATTATCAAGGAAAGGGAGGTCCAATTCAGAAGTTGATATGGAAAGCAGCAGTCCCATTTATGAATAGCAGCGTTTGGGTGAGAACACTATTCAATACTAGTAACAGTACTAAATGCAGGTCTAATGTTACCCTTGTAGAAAATATTACCACTCAATTTACAATTTGTGTTTTTAATCCTTATGTTTTTCTAGCAGCAAAAAAGGATCAACTCCAGATGGACAATGCCCAGTTGACTTGTGATTCCTGTCAACTGTATCATTGCCTTAATCATAGCACAGTACAAACACACAGTATATCCACCCTAATAATTCTAGGTCACATTCCCGGATTACGAGTTCCTGTAAATTTGTCTGAGCCTTGGGTGGCCACCCACACATTACATCTCATAAAACTCTTTTTAACTCAGCTTACTCATGGTGCTCATAGAGCCTTAAGCATGATAATTTTTGCTATAGTCTCCTTTAGTTACATTAATAACCCTGCTGTAGTGTCCTCAGTATCAATGCACAGCTCCATTCAAACAACTCAATATGTAGAAAACTGGACTTGCACAGCCGACCAGGCATGGATGTTTCAAAATAAAAGTAACACCGAGATACAAACAGAAGTGGCAATGTTAAAGACTACTGTTCTGAGCTAGGAGAACAAGTAGAAAGTTTGCAGTTGCAGCAGGAATTGCATTGTCAGTTTAACTATACTCATATTTGCATGACCAATTTGGAATATAACAAAAGTGAATATCCATGGGACCTTGTAAAGGCCCATTTACAGGGAGCTTTCACATCCAATGTTGCTTTTGATTTAATGATTTACAAAGTAAAATCCTTAAGCAGACTCAAGTGTTTCAGCCCTCTTTAAAAGCTTGAACAGAATTCCAACAATGTTTAGAAAGCCTTAACCCTTGGAACTACTTCAAACAGCACCTCAATGCCTTTTTTATAACTCTTGGATTAATGTTACTATGTTTCTGTTTTTTGTTCATAGTCTGCAATATCAGCTGGACCACCAAATGGCAATTGAGAGCTGCACAACCTGCAATTACCTTTATTCAATTAATGCAAAAACAAAAAGGGGGAGATGTTACAGGCCAAAAAGAATGAGGGTCATGACCAACTCAGTATACCACTAGAGGCTATTTGAGTAAACATTAAACTGTTCTCATGAAAGCAGGATGTTGGAAAACTGACAAACTACATCTGCTGACAGAAGGGGTGCTGAGGGCAGTCACACCCCCAGTGCAGTGTTCCTTGTGATTATCTATAGGAACATCTGAAGCCTGTTGTATAAAGAAAGCAATTATGTGTACGTGTGATAAATCAAGCAGCTGACCAACCATTACCTCTCCCTACCTGCCCTTTCTACCTAATAAATACGAAGGGCTGTAGAAGCTCAGAGTTGCCTTTGCTCACTAGAAACAAGGAGCCCCCTGACCCCTTGTTTTAAAACATATCCTTTTGTCTTTGTCTTCATTTCTGTATTCTCCCCACGTCGTTCATGCCATAGTAACCAACAGCGACAGTACAGGCCATATAATTAAGTGACTGTCACTAGATAGCCTTCCTTCAATGATGTTCTTCATCTAGGAACCCAGAGTTCTCCAGGGTAAAATGGCAACTGAGGTTTTGGATATATTGAGTAAGAAAGAAAGTCACCTCCATAAAACTTAGTAATTGGAGCTGTCACCACTACAAATTTCTAAACTTTGCAAGACTGCTGCAGGATTTCAAATGATACTCTGAGAGAGGAGAGAATGAGCTCATGTGGATTTCCCTCCAAATGTATTTACTGCACAAAGGCAAAGTTCACATTACACTTGGAGATTTCTCTCAGTCTAGTTTAAGATCACAGATTGTGGATCCCAGACAACTGGTATCAACCGACCAGTGTCCTGTTAAGGCTAAACCTAAGACTCTTTACCACACTGCAGCCTTAGAATTGGACTTCTCTTCCTGTTGCTGGGAAGAATTAGAGATATATATTAAAGGTCACTTTTCTTCTGAGAAAAGGGATGCTGGAAGAGACAGGAGCAATGAGTGTGTGGCAGGAGTTCAAAGTGATAAGGTGAAAGCCAGGAGCCACAGAGCATAAAGCTCCAGGGCTGCCTTAAGGGATGAAGTGACCAGCACCCTGGCTCTTCTGTCCAGCTTTTTAACAATCTAACAGTTAGAGTTTCTTTATTTTCTTTCAGCTACTCCTGGAAATGGTGAAGACATGGAATTTTTGCAAAAAAATGGTGTGGAGGAAAATAAAGCCTCTGTGTGAGTATATAACCATTTGACCTCTTTTTTAACCCTCTCCAGGGTCACCCTAGAATCAGATCTGCTCCCCAGCATCTTCTGTTTCCTGGAGTGTGTTGTCTGCTACTTTGGATTGGCCATGATGGGCTGGAGCTGCCTTGTGACAGGAGCAGGAAGTTTTCTGGGTCAGAGGATCGCCTGCCTCTTGGTGGAGGAGAAGGAGCTGAAGGAGATCAGGGCCTTGGACAAGGCCTTCAGACCAGAGCTGAGGGAGGAATTTTCTGGTAAGCAAACTTGATTCATGGGTGTGTGGCTCCATTTTAAACTCTGCATGGGTGTGGGGAGGTGGACCTTTTCTAGCAAGTTACAGAAAGTTGTAGTCAAATCTAAGCCAATCCCACATCCACAGTCATCATAAAAAGAATATTAAATAGTATAAAATGGCATAGTGGGAAAGACACTGGATGGGGTGTCCAGAGACTGGATTCTGGCCCTGACCCAGAACTTGAGAGGCAGCCACTTTGGACACCAGGCCCATTTTCTTCTCATCTAGAAAATCCCACAACAGTTATTTTTCTTGTCTACAACTGTTTTATGTTCTGAGGCTTTTTGTCTTGGCAATTGCTTTGCAACATTCACAAAGGATGCCATTGACTTGGAGACCTCACCAGTGGGTCCCTGCCTCTCTAGACCTCCCTGAGCTTTGTTTTGTTTTGTAGCATCCTTGGCATCTTTAGTGAAGGCCAAATAAAAAGAAGTGAAGGTATAGGCAAGTGTGTAAGTATGTGTGTGTGTGCCAGAGAGCGAAACAGAGAGAGAAAATGAGGGAGAGAGAAAATCAGAGAGGGAGAATGAGAAAGACAGAGAATGCATGAGAAAGAGTGAGAAAGAGAGAGAGGATAAGAGAGAGAGAGCATCAGTGAGAGAGAAAACTCGTGCACAAGTGCACAGCACAGAGCAGAGACAGTAAGAGGCAGTATGAGGCCAGATATGCCTCATTTCGATTTTTCATATATGGCTTTATTTTTTAACCATTTGTCTCTGTTGCTCAATCATCAAGAAATTGCAGAATTTGGTGTAGCAGATCCTTGTGCAAATAACCCCATGAGGGGTATAAAAGGGGTTGTATCCAACTGAACAATGAACCATCAAGGTCCTGAAACATAAAGCAACTTGCCAAGACCATCTAATTAATGTGTAGCACAGCTCAGACCAGAGCTTCCTCCAGAGGCTTCGTCACTTGACTCCAGAGCTGATGCTTGGCAAAGTGGGTCTTCAGTCTCTCCCTTTGCCTCCCTGGGTGCCCAATTCCCTGTCCTCCTCCCCAACCCAGGAGATTGGGTGGACTGTGTGTCTTCATGTGGGCTCTGGCAGTATAGAGACTCATGACCTGCCCTCAGAGAAGCCCCCACTTGACAACATTCAGGGACCACACCCAACACTCTGTTCCTCTTTTGCTCTTCTCAGACCTCTTCCAATTTCCTCCACCCTCTGTTTTAATGGTGTCTTTCACAAACAAATATTAACACAAGACCAAGATTAAATGTTTGTAATCCTTATGTGTCACCAATATTTACAATCTAACATGTAATACCAGAAAAAAGCAATGCTCAGCCTAGAGGAATTGTTCCTTATGGTGAAAAGGCAGGGGATATAACGGATGCACAGTGACCTGTATGAAGATAAAAACAGAGAATCCTTTCAGTGTTCTTTCTGTGCCAGGCACTGTGCTACATGTTTTACATGTGCTGACTCAATTGTTACTCATAGCAACCCTATGAGATTGTTAATATTATTATCCTCCTTTCTTACAGACTAGGAGACAGACACAGAGAGGTTAACTAACTCACTGGAAGTCCCAGAGTTAGAATATGGCAAACCTGGATTTGAGCCCAGAGAGTCTAGTGCAGCATCTGCACTCTTAAACAGAGTTAGTCTAGCAGCTTGAGGAAGGAGCGAACTATGGCTCCATCAAAAAGTCCCCATTCCTAGTTTCTAGATCCCTGTGAACTCACTGAGGAAGAGCCTTTTCTCTTGGCTTTAGACTTCTTCAACTTTGAAAAGGCAATTCCTTTGAGCCAGTCTGTCTGAAGTTGGCAGCAAAGGGGAAGCAGAGGAAGGGAGCAGGAAGTGCAGAGGTGGAAATAGAACCAGAGAAAATTCCACTCTCAGGCTGTCACCCACCTCCTCCCCAGCAGCCTCTTCCCTGCCTCCCCCATTGCAGGGCCTCCTTGGAGTTGCCTGACAGTGGGAAGGGGCTGGGAGTAGACAAAACATGACAGAGGCATCAGGAGAGTAAATGGTCCCATCTGAACCCCTGGAAGGAATTGCTCCAGTCTTGAATTTTTCACTCTGAATTTTACTCTCACTGTTCTTTGGCCTTTGTTGCCAATTTCAGTTGAACTTTCTCAGAAAAGTTTATTTAAACAGCCAGTCCTGTACCTGGTGTACAGTGTACGAGGCTTGGAGGTGGGGTGGGCAAGTTTGAGTCTCCACTAGAAACGTGACCTTAGATCTGTCCCTTAACCTCTCTGATCCTAAGTTTCCTCACCAATAAAGTGGGACTCAGAAAACCTATCTCATGAGATTGCTGTAAAAGGAAATAAGAAAGCTGTGAGTGGTATGCAGATTGTAAAGCACAAACAAGCGTAGAGTATTTATCCAAGCTCCATGTACCACAGTGTTCATGGCGCGGGCTAATTCCAGGTGACAACTTTACTGTTAGCATCATGTCTTGGGTATTTCAGAGGAGCCTGAAGACATTAAAGTTGTAACCACTGCCCTCAGTTAGACAGCTGGAATATTAGTTCATTGGTCGCTAACTTTCAGCATTGTTTTCTGCTTTTGATATCTGATAAGAGTTTTTCATGGAAATTCCTCATTTAGGCCCATCCACAATTCCCTAGTAATGGCTCCACTCTCCTCCCAATTGCCCAAGCAGGAAACCACAGGGGTGATTTTGTCTTCTTTTTCTCTCAGCCCAGATCCAGTAGGTATCAAGACCTTCAAGGTAAGGTCTGAAATTCAAACCTGTTGTATCTCTCCCCTCCTCTGCTTCCACTGCTAGACCCTGCTTCCGGTCCTCATTGAAACTTTGGCATAGATACTCTGGTTAATCTCTTAATTATCTTACTTTCTCATATCCCCTATACCAGTCCATTTTATATCCTCAAGCCAAGGTTGACTCTCCACATCATAATTCTGCTTCTGTTTCTCTCTCTCTCTCTTTTTTTTTTTTTTTTTTTGGAAACAGGGTTTGGCTGTGCCACCAAGACTGGAGTGCAGAGGCATGATCTCTGCTCACTGCCACCTTCACCTCCTGGGCTTCATTCATCCTCCTGCTTCAGCCTCCTGAGCAGCTAGGACTATGGGCACGCACCACTAAGCCTGGCTAATTTTTGTATTTTTAGTAGAGACGGGGTTTCATGAGGCTGTCCAGGCTGGTCTTGACCTCCTGGGTGCAAGCAATCAGCCCACCTCAGCCTCCCAAAGTGCTGGAATTACAGGTGTGAGCCACCATGCCCTGCCTGGTTCTCTACTTATTCCAAATATAAATAAAGGGTTTCTCTGACATGGTGCTGGAGACCCAAAATCATGATCCCGCATGCTTCTTGCTTGCTTCTTCAGTGTTTCACTGCTCAGACCTCTACGGGAGCATATAGAGAGGCAGGTTGTGGGACTCCGACTCTGCCTGGGGTGAATGTTTACAGTTCCTGAAACCCCAGTGGGTGTGTGTTACACGGTGCTCTTTTAGTCTTGCTCTTTTAGTTTTGACATCTATAGGCAGCTTGTTTTAACAAACTACAGTAGACCCTCTACCTTATCGGAAATTCAGAGGGCTTTCTATATCTCGGGTTGTTGCTTTGGTTACCAACGCAATTGGATCACACCTGGGCTGGCAGAATGAGTGCAAGGTTTTATTGAGTGGAGGTAGCTCTCAGCAGCTGGGGGATGCCAGAAGGTGAGGGTTTTCCTCTGGAGTCAGCTGCTCAATTACCTAACTCTTATCCTACTGCCCCAGGAAAACTCCACATCATTTTGCCAGTGGGTGTGTTTCTCCCAAAGTCCAGCTGCCCATGTATTCCTCTGCTGATGTGTTCCTCTGCTGATGTGTGCCCCTCCTGACATCCAGCATCGTCTGTCTTCTTCTGCCAATCTGCTTCTCTCATTGCCCAGCAGCTTGTGCATGTGCCTGTTGGGGTCTTGGGTGGTTTTTATAGGCACAGAATGGGGGCATGGCAGGCCAGGGTGGTCTTGGGAAATGCAACATTGGGGCAGAAAATGCTTGTCCTCATCTAGGTTCCTGGAAGTGGAGGCCTAGCCAGAGACCACACTCTCCTTCACCCAGCACTTCCCTTCCCCACTCCCATATCATTTAAAGGGACCACGCTCTTCCCATCCCAGCACTTCCATATCAAGAACTTTCAGAGCCCTCCTGCCCACCTCAAAGAAGTTCTCTCGAGAGAACTAGCAAAGCTGGTTCACAGAGGTCTGTCAGGACAGAATTATCCAGCACATGCTTTCTCACAATATTTTCTTAACAAAAGAGTCTTCCAGTATGCAAAATACCATCTCTTCATCTCACTGCAGGGCCTGCTATTACAGAGCCGTTTCATGCTATGTGCCCAAAGTGCACCTTCATTTAATCCTCATCCCTTAAAGTCTTGGTGGTCTTCCTGAATTGCAGCTTTCCAAACCACTTTAAATTCAGACACATTTCCTTAAGGAATCTTGTCATGCAGTCTCACCATCTGATTCCCAGAGTCCAGTCTCTTCAGCACCACAACACCCAACCGTGGGCCTGGCCCTCCACATTCAATCTACTCTGATGCCTTTTCTAACTGAACTAATTGATTTTGAGTCTCCAGAACCATCAAAAAAAAAAAAAAAAGAAAAGAAAGAAAGAAAAGAAAAGAAAGAAAGATAGAAAAATCCCTTCCAGTTTCTATTTACGCATACCTTTCAGTACCCCTAGAGTACAAGTGGGGTGTTAAGAATAACCAGTTTTTCATTTGAATTCTTAACTCTCCACAGCTCCCAATGACAAGAACTGTGAAATGACAGGAGAAGTGTTAGAGGCATCTGTTTCCTAAACCATTATCACTCCAAGGCTTAGAAAACATTTCACAATGTTGGTCATTTCCCCCTTGAAAGTAAACCACTTTCTCTGCCACCAGATTAATTGTTGAAAATATGAGGCTGTCTCTCCAGAAACTCAAATTCCACAGAGACTTTAAACTGGGCCAAAAAAAAGAAAAAGAAAAAGAAAAAATAATAATCCTTACCTAGGAAATTCCTTGCTTCTTCAAGGGAAGGCACTCCGAGCACCTCCATGAGCTTCACTTCCACACAGCTCAGGGGATGCTGCCAGGTCCTCCCAGTGCAGGTGTTACCAGCAGAGGGCACACTCCTCTCCCCAGTCCTCCACCAGGCTCCACAGGAAATGCCAGGGTAGGGCTTAAGGGAAGGTTTATCACCCTGACTTTACATAACCAGGTAAACAGAGTCACAGCCAGAATTGGAAGCAGCTTTCCCAGGGAACACACAATCAGGAAAAGAGTGTGGGTTTCCAACACCTCCCCACAAGCCACTGTTTGCTCAATGACTCCAGGAATGGTCCTTGTGACTAAGTTTTATCAGTCCACTCAAAATGAGAAAAATACCAGCAATTGTATGTATATTTAAGAGTATATTTAAGAGTGTATATTGCTTATATACAACTGTGTATGGGTATGTGTGTGACATAAATTCTTCCACTGCCCTTTTCTGCCTAAGGACTGGGACTGTCCATATTCTCAGAGTATAGCTTCCTGATTTTTCAGTTTTTAATAATCTGCCTTTAATGATACTGATGTCACATTACAATTTTTCAACATCATTATTTGACAAAATATAAAGTGATAACTCTAGGTCCTTTCCCAAAATTACAGTACACACACACACACATACACACACACACACACATCCATACACCCAAAAGTCTAGAAATTCTTGCTCTCCAGAACCCATATGTCAGTTTCTTTTCATTTTGGTGTTTTTCCTATGGCTGTAGCATGGCCCAGTCTCAGTCAGAGTCACAGAAGAATGGACCCCGAGTCTGTTATAACCACTGCACTTGAGAATGAATATCTATGCATGTGGTTGGGGCGCCTTAGTTATATTTCCTGACACTGACAGCACGCTTTTTGTTGGTAGTTACCCAGCTTCTGTTGGAGGCCTGTGTCCAAGCTACTGTGCCAATCTTCATCTACACCAGTACCCTAGAGGTAGCCGGGCCCAACTCCTAAAAGGAAATTATTCAGAACGGCCATGAAGAAGAGCCTTTGGAAAACACATGGTCCACACCGTACGCATACAGCAAAAAGCTTGCTGAGAAGGCTGTGCTGGCGGCTAAAGGGTGGACTCTGAAAAATGGTGGCACAATGCACACTTGTGCCTTAAGACCAATGGTTATCTATGGGGAAGGAAGCCCAATCCTTTCTGCTGGTATAAATGAGGCCCTGAACAACAACGGATCCTGTCAAGTTTCAGCAAGTTCTCCAGAGTCAACCCAGTCTATGTTGACAACGTGGCCTGGGCCCACATTGTGGCCATGAGGGCCCTGCAGGACCCCAAGAAGGCTCCAAGTGTCCAAGGACAGTTCTACTATATCTCAGATGACACACCTGACCAAAGCTATGATAACCTTAGTTACACCCTGAGTAAAGAGAGAGGCCTCTGCCTTGATTCCAGATGGAGTCTTCCTTTAGCCCTGATGTACTGGATTGGCTTCCTGCTGGAAATAGTGAGCCTCCTACTGAGGCCAGTTTACACCTATGGACCACCCTTCAACCACCACACAGTGACATTGTCAAATAGCGTGTTCACCTTCTCTTACAAGAAGGCTCAGCGAGATCTGGCGTATGAGCCGCTCTACAGCTGGGAGGAAGCCAAGCAGAAAACCGTGGAGTGGGTTGGTTCCCTTGTGGACCGGCACAAGGAGACCCTGAAGTCCAAGACTCAGTGATTTAAGGATGACAGAGATGTGCATGTGGGTATTGTTAGGAGATGTCTTCAAGCTCCACCCTCCTGGCTTCATACAGAAGGTGACAAGGGCACAAGCCCAGGTCCTGCTGCCTCCCTTTCACATAACAGCCAACTTATTGTCTTCCTCATGTCCTCAAAACCTGCCCAGTCCCTGGCCCAGCCAGAAGCTTTCTGTCCTAATCATATACCAGAAGAAAGACGATGTGATTTGCTTTTTCCAAAACTCAGTGGCTGATTCTGAACAATTGTGGTCTCTTTTAACTTGAGGGTCGTTTTTAACTACTAGAACTCCATTTCTCCTCTTAAACGAGAAAGAATCTTTTCTTTCAAATCTCCTACTTCTTCACACAGTTCAATATAAAGAGTAATAAATGTTTTAATGCTTAACCTGGAGGGAGGCGTAGTTTCTGTTAATACATAGTTCCCTCCTTTTCTTTTCATTTCCAGGTATCACCATCTTTAACTTAGGAGAGTAGTATGAAGCCAGGGTTGTGGGGTGGGCAGAGTAGTGGGAGCATCCAGAAGGGCGATGAAGACTGAATAAGCCCTACTATGTTTCAGGCATGTACAACATGACCTACATATGACATATATTCCCTCACTCAGTACTCATCAGAAACCTATCATGTGGGGGTGACTATTCCCATTTTACCATTGAGGAAACCTGTTCACAGTCACACTAACTAATTAGTGGCTAGGCCTGTTACCAGGAAGTTGGCCTTGAAAGTCCTTATCTTTCCATGGAATTATGCAGCCTGAACTGGTCTTACCAATGGTACAGCAGAGCACTGAAGCATGGGGTGCTGATACTTGGGAGAGTCCCAGCTTTTTGGGGTTACCTCTTTCTTGCCCAGTCCGGTACAGGGGAATCTCTAGAACCCAGGAGAATCCCTGAGGGGTATCTGAAAGAGTTTGCATGTCTTTCTTAACGGCCCTTAGCAGGGCAGAGAGAAGCAAAATTGCACCAGGCCTCCACCAGCTTCAGTGCCAATTTCCTTGAAGGTCTCTAGAACACACTGGCTATACGTGTGTTGGCCATTCTGATCATACATAACCCTGCATTTCACCCTTTCAAATCACACAATGAGCCACACCATGGGTTCCTGGGCAAGTAAATAAAACAAGTGTGAACTTCCCCAAAATATACTTTCTACTCAGCCCAAAATTAGAAGTCTACTATCGCACATCCCCAGGTTTAACTGTCTCTCTCTTCTTTCTCCTTCTCTTCTTTAAATCATATCCTTTCTTCTTTTATTCTTCCATATCCTTAGCCTCTTTCTTCCCTCCATCTCCTCTTTAATCACTGGTTCTCTCATTCTTCTCAATTTCCCTGAAGAGTGGAGGCCAATAAAGACAAGTTTGGTGACTTCAGTGATGACATAGTCATTAACCAATCAATGAAAACACTGTCAAAAGAAACACTGTCATGTGCATCAGGGACAGAGTTGAACTGAAGCAGATGAGTAGGTTGCTGTGGGTCCAGAGTGTGGGGAGAGGAAGCTGTCTCCCTCTGGACCTTTGTGTATCACAGCAATGATGAGAGTCACACCCAACATCAAGATGGCTTTTTTCTTACACAGGAAATTAACAGATCATTACTCAGTTGAATTTGATTACCACAATGGAGTTAGTTTCAGTGTTCATTCTGAAAAGAAAAGGGAACCATATTCTGGCCCAGATGAACAGGTTACCACCATCTTCAAAACCCCAAGGAACAGATGATCAGCACCAGCATCAGGGGGGAGTGGCCCCAGGCAGTGTGGTAATGTGAAAAATGCAACACCCAGTGGTCACTTCCAAGATGGCCAAATAGGAACAGCTCCGATCTGCAGCTCCGAGCGAGATCGAAGCAGAAGACAGGTGATTTCTGCATTTCCAACTGAGGTACCTGGTTCATCTCACTGGGACTGGTTGGACAGTGGGTGCAGCCCACAGAGGGCAAGCTAAAGCAGGGTGGGGAGTTGCCTCCTCTGGGAAGCACAAGGGATCGGGGATTTCCCTTTCCTCACCAAGGGAAACCGTGACAGACTTTCGTGGAGAAAAGGTACACTCCTGACCAAATACTGTGCTTTTCCCGCAGTCTTAGCAACCAGCAGACCAGGAGACACCCTTCTATGCCTTGCTCAGTGGGTCCCATGCCTATGGAGCCTTGCTTACTGCTAGCGCAGCAGTCTAGAGGAAGATATACTGGCAATGCTGTAGCTTGACAGAGGGGAGGGGTGTCTGCCATTGCTGAGGCTTGAGTAGCTCACAGTGTAAACAAAGAGACTGGGAAGCGTGGACTAGGCAGAGCCCACTGCAGCTTAGCAAGGCCTACTGCCTCTATAGATTCCACCTCTGGGGGCAGGGCATAGTAGAACAAAAGGCAGCAGACAGCTTCTACAGACTTAAATGTCCCTGTCTGACAGCTCTAAAGAGAGCAGTGCTTCTCTCAGCACGGCATTTGAGATCCAAGAACAGACAGACTACCTCTTCTAGCAGGTCCCTGACCCCTGTGTAGCCAGACTGGAAAACACCTCCCAGTAGGGGCTGACAGACCCCTCAAACAGGCAGGAGCCCCTCTGGGATGAAGCTTCCAGAGGAAGGATCAGGCAGCAATACTTGCTGCTCTGCAGCCTCCACTGGTGATACCCAGGCAAACAGGGTCTGGCGTGGACATCCAGCAAACTCCAACAGACCTGCAGCTGAGGGGTCTGACTGTTAGAATAAAAACTAACACATAGAAAGGAATAGTATCCACATCAACAAAAAGGACTTCCACACCAAAACCACATCTGTAGGTCACAGTCACCAACATCAAAGACCAAAGGTAGACAAAACCACAAAGATGGGGAGAAACCAGAGCAGAAAAGCTGAAAATTCCAAAAAAACAGAGTGCCTCTTCTCCTCCAAAGGATCACAGCTCCTCACCAGCAAGGGAACAAAACTGGACAGAGAATGAGTTGGACGAGTTGACAGAAATAGGCTTCAGAACTTTGGTAATAACAAACTTCTCTGAGCTAAAGAAGCATGTTCTAACCCATTGCAAGGAAGCTAAAAGCCTTGAAAAAAGGTTAGACGAATGGTTAACTAGAATAAACAGTGTAGAGAACACATTAAATGACCTGATGGAGCTCAAAACCATGGAATGAAAACTTTGTGATGCATGCACAAGCTTCAACAGCCAATTCAATCAAGTGGAAGAAAGGATATCAGTGATTGAAGATTAAACTAATGAAATAAAGTGAGAAGATAAGATTAGAGAAAAAAGAGTGTAAAGAAATGAACAAAGCCTCCAAGAAATATGGCACTATATGAAAAGACCAAATCTACATTTGACTGGTATACCTGAAAGTGACAGGTAGAATGGAACCAAGTTAGAAAACACTCTTCAGGATATTATTCAGGAGAACTTCCCCAACCTAGCAAGGCAGGCCAACATTCAAATTCAGGAAAAACAGAGAACACCAAAAAGATGCTCCTTGAGAAGAGCAACCCCAAGACACATAATCATCAGATTCACCAAGGTTGAAATGAAGGAAAAAATGTTAAGAGCAGCCAGAGAGAAAGGTTGAGTTACCCACAAACGGAAGACCATCAGACTAACAGCGGATCTCTCAGCAGAAACCCTGCAAGTCAGAAGAGAGTGGGGGCCAATATTCAACATTCTTAAAGAAAAGAATTTTCAACCAGAAACTCATATTCAGCCAAACTAAGCTTCATAAGTGAAGGAGAAATAAAATCCTTTACAGACAAACAAATGCTGAAAGATTTTGTTACCACTAGGCCTGCCTTACAAGGCTCCTGAAGGAAGCACTAAACATGGAAAGGAACAACCACTGCAAAACCAGCCACTGCAAAAACACGCCAAATGGTAAAGACCATCGACACTGTGAAGAAATTGCATCAATTAATGGGCAAAATAATCAGCTAACATCATAATGACAGAATCAAATTCAAATATAACAATAATAACCTTAAATGTAAATGGGCTAAATGCCCCAATTAAAAGACACATACTGGCAAATTGGATGAAGACTCAAGACCCATCAGTGTGCTGTATTCAGGAGACCCATCTCACGTGCATAGACACACATAGGCTCAAAATAAAGGGATAGAGGAAGATCTACCAAGCAAATGGAAAGCAAAAAAAAAAAAAAAACAAAAAACAGGGACTACAATCCTAGTCTCTGATAAAACAGACTTTAAACCAACAAAAATCAAAAAAGACAAAGAAGACCACTACATAATGGTAAAGGGATCACTTCACCAAGAAGAGCTAACTGTCCTAAATAAATATGCACCCCATACAGGAGCACCCAGATTCATAAAGCAAGTCCTTAGAGACCTGCAAAAGAGACTTAGACTCCCACACAATCGTAATGGGAGATTTTAACTCCCCACTGTCAATATTAGACAGATCAACTAGAGAGAAGGTAAACAAGGATATCCAGGACTTGAACTCAGCTCAGCACCAGCGGACCTAATAAAAACAGCTACAGAACTCTACATCCCAAATCAACAGAAAATACATTCTTCTCAGCACCACATGACTTACTCTAAAATTGACCACATAATTGGAAGTAAAACACTCCTCAGCAAGTGTAAAAGAACAGAAATCACAACTGTCTCTCAGACCACAGTGGATTCAAACTAGAATTCAGGGTTAAGAAACTCACTCAGAACCACACAACTACATGGAAACTGAACAGCCTGCTCCTGAATGACTACTGGGTAAATAACAAAATGAAGGCAGAAATAAAAATGTTCTTTGAAACCAATGAAAACAAAGACACAATGTACCAGAATCTCTGGGACACATTTAAAGCCGTGTGTAGAGGGAAATTTATAGCACTAAATGCCCACAAGAGAAAGCAGGCAATATCTTAAATTGACACCTTAACATCACAATTAAAAGAACTAGAGAAGCAAGAGCAAACAACTTCAAAAGCTAGCAGAAGGCAAGAAATAACTAAGATCGGAGCAGAACTGAAGGAGACAGAGACACAAAAAACCTTCAAAAAAATCAATGAATCCAGGAGCTGGTTTTTTTTTTTTTTTTTTTAAGATCAATAAAAAAGATAGACTGCTAGCAAAACCAATAAAAAAGAAAAGAGAGAAAGAAAATCAAATAGATGCATTAAAAATGGTAAAGGGGATATCACCATTGATCCCACAGAAATACAAACTACCATCAGAGAATACTATAAACACCTCTATGTGAATAAACTAGAAAATCTAGAAGAAATAGATAAATTCCTGGACACTTACACCCTCCCAAGACTAAATCAGGAAGAAGCTGAATCTCTGAATAGACCAGTAACAGGTTCTGAAATTGTGGCAATCATTAATAGTCTACCAATGAAAAAAAGTCCAGGACCAGACGGATTCAGAGCTGAATTCTACCAGAGGTA